TCTTAACTATAATATTTTTAAAACCTATACTTTTTTAAAAAATAAGTTTAAATTCATCCAATTTTTTAAGGGATGCTTGAAATAGGGAAAATGATTTTAAAGGAAAAAATTAAATTGTAATTAAAATTTTAAAATAATCGAAAGGGTTATTAAGAAGGAAAGTCTTTTGATCCCTGTAAGGCAATCCCTTTTTTTGGCCCATATTTTTGGCGCCCAACGGGAAGTATTGCAGTGCTTTTTGTTTTGGGAGGGTTTTGTTATGAAAAATAAACAAAAAAAATTGCTCTTTTAGCAGGGGGCCTGGACTCGCTTCTGGTGAGTTATGGGAAACAAAAAAAAACGAAAATTTCCCAGTTTATTTTTTAAAAAAACAAAATTAAATTGAATTCAGTTTTTTAATTTTTCCTTTCCCAAAGTATATTTTTTAAAAAATTTTGCCCCCCCCCCACCCCGGGGTGGGGTTTTGGGAAAAACAAAAATTTTAAACATATATCAAAAATCCGCTTTTTTTGTTTCATTTTCCCCTTTTTTTACTGAAAAATTTTTTTTAAAAGTTTGTGCTTCTTGAATTCTTCTAGATAAGCGCTTTCTCTTATATATATTTGTATTGGTTGTTATCATTCAAAATAATTTCTATTAGATAAGTATCTTTTTACATTATTTCAAAATTGTTATTGAGTATATGCTTGTGAATTGAAATAATTTTTCTTTTCTAGGATTTTTTTTGATGATTGCAATGGCAGCAGTATATGCCTGATAAATGTAAATTATATGGAACTAATTTGGATTATGGATTTGCCCTGGATATAATTGCCTGGCTGGCGGCTCATGGGTAGCTGGTGGAATCTTCATCGCTTCAAAGTTTTTGACAAAAGTCTAACGATAAGAAACCAGATTAAAAGCTACTAGAATAACAAATATTGAACCGTTTTGATTTTTATAAAATACTGAGTTGCCAAACCTTTTTTATTGACAATTATATAAATTAAATTTTATAACAAAAATAAGATTTAGATTGTTGTTGTTGTTGTTGTGTTTTCTGCAAACGGGACAGACAATCTCCATATACAAATGTTGGACTGTGCAACTGTCTGTAGTCTACCAACATTTAATGTCGTGGAACCAGGCTAAAATTAAAATATGCATAGTCAAAATGTCTCCGCCTAAAGGGGAACTGTTTCGCATTTGAACAAAAACATCCGGGTAAGAGCTGTTGCCTTGCGCTGATATATAACATCTTAAGTTTTAAATTATCTATTTGTTGACTTAAAAAACTAGGAAACAAGCGTTTAGAAGAAATTTAATCTTTTTAAGTTTTGCATTTTTTTTAAATTGATTTGGATAATGTTGTGCGGACATTATTGTGGCAGTTGACTTTTTATCTTGGGTAAATCGAGGGGTGACAGGTAGGGGGTTTTTTTTTGGGCCTAGTTTTGAAAAGGTTTGGGAGGGTTTTTAAAATGTTTAGCCCTCGTCTACACCAATTTTTTAACCCCAACACTTAATAAGTTTAAATAAATGGTTTTTCCCCCCAATACATTGGGGTTGGGACTGCCGTTCCCCGTCCGCGTGTCCCGGGGATTCACAATTTTTTTAATTTTTCTTGGTGTTTTGGGGAACATCCCCTTGACCAACAAAAACCCCTTTGGGAAAAAACCCTTTCAGGGCCCGGGGAAAACGGGTGAAAATTTGGGGCATTTTTGAATGGTTTGATTTATATTATAAAAAAGGAAAATTTTAAGGGAAAAAACCTTTTATGTTTATTAAACTAAAATTGACTTTGGCCTTTAAAAATTTTGGACATTGGAGGTTTAAACTATTAAATTTTAAATAAAATTGTTAATTACTTGGGATTATATAGTTTGGGGGTGGGGCCCCGTGTGTGGGTGTGTGGTGCGGTTTTGGCGCAAAAATTGGTTTTTTTTTACAGAAGAAAAATTATATATATGTGTTCTTCTGTTATACATACGCGTATATATATATAGAAATGAGAGAATAAATACACTCATACCGCCATATCGATATGCCAGTCCAATAACGACACAGCGCCTAGCAGAACAGTCATGATAGCATAGCCACTGCTTATCCACCATCACAAAAAATATGGGGATTTTTAATAACAACTTTATATCCAGTCACAAATCGCACTACACATTGAAACTGGCTCAACATTCGCATATATATAGAGTTCTTTCTCTGTTATCATGTCTTATAAATCAACGATCATTTTTTTGTCTTTTTTTACTGATTGAAATTTAAAACAGAAATGAGTAAAAAGGGGAAAGTTTAATTAAGTTCAATAAGTTTTATTTTTCTCCTTAAAATGGATCAATAAAAAGTTTCCCAGAATAAAAAGAAATGAAAAATTTTAAATAAAAACACACTTTACATTTTGGGGCGCTTTGTCGTTTGTCGCTAGCGAAATATACGCACAAACGTACAAAATAAACCCCAACCATGGGAAAAAGGGAATTTTCATTAACTTTGTAAGAAAAAAAAGAATGGAACAGAAATAAAAATCCCACGAATAAAACATGTGTAAATTTCTCAAAAGACACATTTTTTTACCCGTAAAAGTTTTTAAACATCTTTTTTTGACGTATTTAGTTTTTTTAATCTAAAAAAATTTTTTTGGGGAATTTTTTAAAAATTAAAATTAAATTTGAACATATTACCAAAATTGATTTAAACTCGCCCCAAATAGGGTTTTTGTCTTTTTGCAAAGTTAGTACATTAATTGGAAAAAATTTCCCCCCAAAAAAATTAAACGTTCATTTTATACCCAACCCAAAAAGAATAAACTCTCAAAGGGCCCGTTTGCGGAAAAAAAGAAAATAAATAATTTAAATATAAAGGATGATATTTTAAGTTACGTTTCTTTTCATGGGGGGGAAAAAAAAAGCGAATATTTTCCCCTTTTAAAAGGGGTTTTTCAGAACTGTTGTTTAACTAAAATGTTTAAAATTTTTAAAGTTTAAAAAAACAAAAAATACTGAAAATCAAAAATGAGTTTTTGTTTGAGAGGGGAAAAAAAGAGATGTTTGGTGGAAAATTTCCCCCGGGGATTTTTGACCGAACAAAATTTTTGGGGATTTTAAACTAAGACAAAAATTTAAATGGCTTAGAATAATGGCCAACCCACATTGCTGGCAAAGGCTAATAACGGAAAACAGTTGTAATATAATGCAAAAAAATGGCCTCGTTCAGAGAAAGTGCTGGCAGATTGATTTTGATAATGTTTTTATGTTAGTGTTGTTTTGTTTGTAAGTGTTGTTACTGTTGGTTGTTGTTGTTTGTTATGTGCTGGTTAAGTGTTTGTTGTGTTGTTAGTGTTTGTTTTTTGTTTTTTTTTTTTTGGGTGTTTTTTTTTTCCAGTTCCCAGGTAAAGCCACTGATCCTAGTCATCAAAGAAGGTCGTTGGTAAGATGTTCATCTATAAAAGTTAAGCGTATGATATTGCAAATTATTATTTTTGGGTGATTTTAAAAGTTTTATAAATCGTGGTGGTGGTGGTAAGTAGTTGCCCTAACAACGATAGTTGTGATTGGACCTGAGAAAAAGCGGATATCCCAAGAATTCCCTATGGTTACCCTCCTGGTCTTTTGTTGAGTGAACAAGCCCCAAAAACCCTCTAAATTAATCCCGGAAATTTATCCGTGTAACAAAAAATCTGGAAATAAAAACTATGTACGTTTTTTCCAACTTTTATTATTAAGCAGGGGGCTGATAACGGTTTTTCTTTGAGCGGCTGCATTTAAAAGGGGGTCCCCCTCGTGGGGCCCCCTTAAAAGGGGTTGGGTTTAAACAAATTTTTTTTCTTTTTCAGGAAATTTGGGTACCCGGGACATTTCCCTTTTTTTCCAAACCCAAAAAAGTAATTTTGGGGAAAAAGAAAATCTTTTCAAAAGGGGAAAGAAAAAGGGGCGATATTTCCCTTGGGGTTTTTTTTCAATTTTTTGAAATTTTTTTTATTGCTTCATTTTCCCGTTTGGCCCCAAAAACGCCCATGAGGACAACAATTACCCCAAAAATTTCTAAAATAAAAACATCCCGAGTAAATCGGGGATATTTTAAAATAATTTAAAAAAAGCCGTGTACGAAAAAAACCAACCCTAAATGTGTTTTCGACCGGGATGGATCCCGAAACCGCCGCCATGCCCCAAAAATCCCGATCAAAGGAAACCCCTGCTGTTCGCCCCTTTCAAACCCCATAAACAAATAAAAAAACTGATAGGAAAAGCATGGAAACCTGATCAGATTGCGGGGGGATGTGGCCCGGCTGTCTGGGTCCATGCCCGGTCCCCAAACCCTTATGTTGGTTTTTTCGTGACCCCGTTTTTAAAAATTGGGCTAGTGTGCCAAATTTATTTATGGCAAAATGACCCTAAAGACCGAGGCGATAATAGATATGCAATCATGGGAATAGTACTCCAATTCATGTAATATTGCTTATTTTCAAGCAATAAGAGGCGTGATATTTTGTATAAATGCGTATTTACAAAAAAATAAATTATTTTAATATTGCGTATTTCAGGTACTGTAAGTCCAATATTTATTGCAATATTGTGTAAGTTAAGTACAGATCTGATGATGTATTTATGAAATGTCATCTGGTCGTTATAAAGGTTAGCGTACCAATCATTGTCTGGTCTTCTAATGAGCAAACAAAGTCTGCTCTGATTAATCTGAGTGCATCCGTTTGTCAAGGGTGTCTCGAGAACTTGAACATCTATGTTAGTTTAGATTAACATATACTGTGGTTGTTGTAAGTGGTGGTGGTGATGGTGGTAGTGGTTGTGTAGTGTTGCTGTTGTTGTTCTTGCTGCTGCTGCTGTTGTTGTTGTTGTTGTTGTTGCTGATGCTGATGCTGCTGCTGCTGCTGCTGCTTTCATTTTAAAATCATTAAGAGACACTGCAAAATGTCTTTTTGAGAAAGCAATTGATTCCTTTTTGTTATTTACTGGTGTTGAAAGTGTACCTATACAAGAAATGACTATTATGTTGTTTTTTTATATAACTGACCTATATTTTTCAGATTTTATAGAACTGATCTATATATTTTCCAGATGGTTTACAATGCTTTAATTGCTCTAGAAGCTTCGACATGAGCATGTGTACAGAGGTGACACAATGCCAATTTGGACAGGTTAATCGTTTACGTATTTTTCTATATGTACTAGTAATATTTCCAGTGTTCGTTCGTTCGCTAGTTTGTTAATTAATGAATAATTTATTCATCTATTAATCTTATATTTTTTTACATTTTACATGTATATGTAAGATCTACACAATAATAATAGTAATAATAATAATAATAATGATAATAACTACAGTTATTATTTACAAATGCCAGTGGTACCATTAATCTATGAGACATTTCATAAATTTTTCTTCGTCCGTTTGTTAACATATTTGACTTATTATTTTTTTCTTTGCCTATCTAGCGTCTTGGTGACGCACAGATTTCACTGGGTTTGAATTTCACTAACTTCTGTGTTATATGTTCTAGTCTTGTTTCAAACGCACAGAGGACATTGGTGGCTCTGTCCTGATTTCAATGGGATGTACAGATAATCAGGTAATCAGTATTTATTAATAACACAGATCAATACGTTTTAGTTTATTGATTATAATCTCGCTAGAAAAAGGATTCGAGTATGTTAGAAAATTGCCAAAAATGTGTTTGAAATATTTTTTTATGAAATGGCACCTAACTATTTAGTTGCGCGTATGGTTTTTGACTGTTGCCAATTGTAAATATGAGATTCTTCGAGACTGTTTATATAAATGTATACATGCGCATGCCTAGAAAGTAGTACAGCAGTTCCAGTATTAAACATGTAGTCATAGAACACACTTGTGTCTCTTATTTCTCATTAGAGTTATACGTTGTTTCACTTGTTATATACTCACATACAAAACCACATAATATTACACCTATACATGAGAAAACGACGACATTAAAAACAATTTATCACCTACGAGAAAAAAAACACATCGCCACCGGTCTACAATGTATTTTTTTTTCATTTAAGAACTGCAGATCAAATCAAAATGGCGGATCAATGGTGTTGGGATATAAACGGGAGACGATGCAAGGGTGTAACGAATGCTGCAGCTCGAACAATTGCAATAAATATCTATGCGGAAAGGCATCGTGTTAATATTACATTAAATATAATTTATAATCTTTCAACACATAATTTCAATCAAAAGATACAAATCATAGGTAACAGTTAAAATTTCAAGATTATGAGCACCATGGCGCATAAATTAGAATATACAACATGAGAAATAAACTTCACTGGGAAATAATATGCTAAGACAGGTGGCTATATAGAACAAATCGCTTAAGATGACGTGTAAATTATTTACGATACTTTCATGTGATAAAGCCATTCAGCCAACTTTGAAAAGGTCGGCGGTTCTATTCATGTACCGTAAGTACCAGAAATAGGAAAAAAGGAAAGGCAGACCTGACTTTTATTTCTGTAATTACATTCACTGTGTCGGTGTGGCTTAAACACAACAACGATATTTTACAGTAACTGGGGCATGTTTAGATGATATAAAAGTCGACTGCTCCTTCATGAATACGGTCAGCAACATATGTCAGAATACAGACCTTGCCAGACGGGTGTGCCGGAACTTCTGTGGTCTTTGTAATACCGGTATTATACCTTTCTTATCAATCGATTTTACACTATGACAAAAGTCTAAATAAAGAGAAAAATGGTTAAACACGTATTCATATTTGGATTCAGCAATTTTAAAGGTATTAGTACTCGTTTTTTGTTTCTATTTTGATGTTTAAGCAGTCGAGTGGTGAAGATGTCTTTTCAGAATAAGAGTAAAATAATTAAAATAAGATTGCCGTCAAAAGTCTTAAAAAATTACATATCCTTGAATAGACGTAACCGGTACCGGTTGCATTTTACATTATAAACAAGAAACGGGCTCAAACAATCCGACAATTTTCATATAATATTGTTGTTTTCACTGGTTCCAAGGGATCACCCCATATCCAGATATTCGGTGACAATTCATTTTTGTTTTTTGATAGAATGGTCAAATTGGTCGAACTGTGACGTCACGTGTGGTACAGGAACGCAAAGTCGAACACGTGGTTGTACTAGTCCAGACAGTTGTACCGGAAGTCACGTAGAAACGAGAACATGCAGTAAACAATGTACAGGTAAATTCAATGCAACTCAAACCCACCATTTAATTTTTAAAAAAAAACTAGAAGCTGACTACATGTTGAAACACTTAAGCTTGACATTTGTCTGTTAGCAACCGTCACTAATTAAATATAGTATTAAACTCATCCTTTTTGGATTTAAAAAAAAGCAGTTGAAAGAAATAAAAAACTCATTCCGATGACACCGTATCTAACCGTAATATATTGTGACGTCATCGTCATGTAAAATAATCATTTACAAGGACATTTATAAGAACTAGTGAAGATTACTTTTATTTAGAATGCAGTTAATTACAATATTTATTTTGTAATATTGACATGTTCAAATAATTATAAATATTTTTATGTAAGTTATAATAACATAATATCATCATGTCAAGTCAACCTTAAACAAGCAAAACTTGTCATGTTTTACTAAATTAGCAATGCAACTAGTGACTTTTTATGTTGTTGTTTTCTATCACGTGTATATTGTTTATCGTTCTTTACAGTTGATATTTTGTATTATTGTTTATTTTCAAGTTATTTTCCAGATTTTTACGTGCATATTCACCCTACCCACTACCAGGGAGATATCAACGCTAGGCTATGCCAAGAAATAATTACATTAGTCCAGTATAGTCCGCCCCTTATATGAATATCTAGACTTAGTCTTTGCCCCACCCGCTCGCACGTCGCAATATTTTGAATAATGATTATATTCTTTTCTGAATTCTATACCCACCGTGTTATCATGGTTGAAGGAACTGGCTTTTTGTTATTAGTTTGCCAAATAAATATTTTGAATTTCATCAGTAGATTGACGCGACTCCCGTTGTCGGGAAGCAATCATAAACAGAAACTTCACCGCTTGCATCATAGTTTAAACTAAACATAATTAATTAAAAATCGTACGTATTCTTCTATACAGCTTTAATCTATGTATACATTAATGTAATATGTAGGCCATTGGACACCCTGGATGTCATGGTCTTCCTGTGACGTCACATGCGGAACCGGAACACAAATTCGAAACAGGATATGTCTTACCCCACCATCAAAGCGTGAACTAACTTGTCCGGGGAACAAAACGGAAACAAAACGATGCCAGGAAAAGAATTGCCGAGGTAACTTCGAGATACATGATAAAATTAATGATTTCTTTTATTAAAAAAACTGTTTTACAAGCATGTGACATCGCATTTTCATTGTTTCGGCATAATTTCACTAATTTGAATAGGTTATTTAAACATTCAAAACCATCAACCACATCGTCCATCAAAGAAACTTCAGAAAATATGGTGTATTACACTTTTTAATTGTATTCACTAATTTAGAAATCTTGTGTTATTTAAAGTTGTATGATCGTTCATCTATTATCATGATCCCGGCCATTTTGTAAGCTTAACGTAACGTGAAACCTAAAATATGATAAACAAGATCAACAAGGAAAGGCGGCGTTCAATGAACGCAACCCCCTAAAGTCTTTCATTGGCCAATGTTTACGTCACTTGATTTTTATTAGACATCTGATATAATAAATGGATCTTTCAATGAATCGTTTGTTACAATTTAACAGTTGATAGAAGTTTAAAATAAAGAACATAAATACATATATTTTTACAGATGATGGTCTTTTTCGTCAGTTTTTATAAAATGCTAACTTAGATGATCTTCAAAAGTTTATTTAAAACCAAAAAGAGAACACGGCCTGATAGGGACCTGACTTTAATATCAAGCAAAATCAATTGGTTAGTTACAATTTATACTCAAAAGTAATTATATTTTTTAACTGGCGGCAACTGAATTAGTCTATGTGACCACAGCATCAGACAGCACATCCGGTCTGATCATGGTCGGCACTGTTCGCTATGTATAGTCAGTTACTATTTTAAAATTTCCCTTAAAATGTTTTGGAAGGGAATATCCGCCATGACAAATACACATTACTTATTCTCAAATGTAAAATACATTGATATAATTTTTAATAAATATTTCAATATTCTTTGTCCCTATTTTTAATTTCTGTGTCCCATTTTCTTATTTGTTTGTATGTAAATTTACAGTTAATATGTAAATTATGTGAATTTCCGACATGAATTATTCTATGTGACAATTTCTTAACTAAATGTTCACGTTTGTCAATTACGCTTGTTGTGTAAAACGAAATAATTGTCAAAATGTATTTTACAACTGGAAAATGTAACTTGTTGTAACTTCCAATAGTCCGTGAACAAACTTCTTATTCCTTTTATTGGTAACGTAACGTTATGAAATATATTAGTTATTTTTACCTTTTTATTTATATTTCTGTTTCAAGTCGAAGATACCTTTTTATGAAATTCATTGTTTATAATTCAATCTTTTTGTCAACAAAGAATATAATGTTTTTTTAAAACTTCAAAATTATGTTTTCGAAATTAAGAGATGAAAAATGCAATTTGAAATTTAGAATTAAGCATATTTTGTGACTTTACGACAATGTGATATAAATAGATTACGAGGTTCCCATTACAGTGTGCATCGTCGCGAATTTGTAACAAGGGTAACTTAGCAAGTCACCAATCTCCCACGCAGTGATCTACCTTTACAGGATTATCACAACATTTTCGTCAAGATTTTTGACGATATGATTTTTTTCAATATTGATGTTTATTTTAAAAAGTAAACACGGTTTTGCTAATATTTCAAGACTGTAAGGTGTTAGGATGTGAACTAAAGTAAAAATAAATAATTTTTAAGACATAAATATTATGAAAATAAATTTTAAAAAATTTAATATCGCACCGTTTATTTCCAAAACGATGGCCCTTCTCTAAAGAGAAATCATTCAAGTAAAAATTAATTTCGATTCTACACTTTACTAATTTTTTTTCAATTATATCGCCAGATTTGACACCAGACATCAGGCGTATCCGCCATCTTGACACAATCATGTGATAAAACTGCCTCTCTGATAGTGAGAGCGGTTTAGACTTTACAATTTAATGATCTGTCCTTATATTGTATCAAGAGCAGGCTTTATCTGAGGGCTCGGGGGATAAGTGATGTTTTCATAATTTGGCATAAATAGAGGATATTGTGTAAGTGTATGTTCATAACTGAATTTATTGAACAAGTTGACCATAATTATTATGTACGAACCTTTGGCAAGCATAGTATTAATTCATTCAATGAGTCAAGGAAATTCAATAGTGAACCTACACGGTAAATAATATTCTATTTATCACATAGATAAAGACTGTTTGAAGTGGAAAAGTAACATTTTTATTGACGCACCTATACTGTAACGTCTTTACGCTATGTTTGACGTCATAACCGCCTCCGTGGTCGAGGGGTTAGAGTCGATGACTTTTAATCCAGTTATTCTCTCTTGCGTGGGTTCGATCTTCGGGGATGCTTTGGTAGTTTAGCACGGAGGAAGGGAGTCTAGTACTGGTGTAACTCTCCAGGAATGATGGTCAGGAAACTACCCGCCTATATGACCGAAATACTGTAGGAAAAAAAGGCGTAAAATGAAACAAACAAACAAACGTCAAAATAAATGCATGGTTGAGAGAGAAGTCATTATTTTCCTAATTGGGGGGAGAGAAAAGTACTATAAAATACAGTGAGGGGATTAATATATATTATCATAATGAATGACAGAAGTGTCATTATTTATCCTAATGGGTGAGAGCAATGAATTATATAACACTTAATGAGCGAAAAAACTATCAGACAATTATCGTTAAGGTTGAGAGAGAAGTCATTATTTTTCGCAAAGCACTATAAAACTTTTAATGAGTGAGAGAATTATTATAGAAAAGAACATGCTTTCTTCAAAAATACATTGGATGTCAAGCTTAGGGGTTCATCTTTTGAATCATTAGTCGGGCCAGGCTTTCAGCTTTGGTTTAAAGATGATAAATACTCTAGATTAGGACATAAAATATTTAATAGTTCCTCACTCACGAGGTGTTACATGCCATTGGTGCTTATCTCACAACAATTGTACAGAAGCATTGTTTAGATAATCAAGTCAGTATTTCAACAGATATGTTTACGTACCACGAAATTGACATAGTTGTCCTCCAAGTAAGAGTCAAGTTTCTATTTATAGCACTGGGAAACACCCGTAGTCACGATTGAAGCGCCCTCTGTTTTGAAAGGGAACCGGTATTTCTGGTTCCTTCTATGCTGTAATTTCTATGTAGCTGGATACCAGTATTATTGGTACCCTTCTAAATTTCTAAACGTTCGAGGCAACTTTCCTAGTGATGTTATACAACTCCTAAATGATGTTATATAGAAAATGCGAATAGCGAGACTAAATATATTAGGAAATAGGGAAGGAAATACGGCGTAATTTAGAAAAACTTCAGCATTAACAATTTAAACATACAAAATATGTCTAATACATTTTGCGTTAATACATTTTGCGTGACAAAATGATATGTTTTACACTGATTATTATCTTAAATTCCATACAAACATACAAAATGGGACACAGAAATTAGAGACTAGGACAAGAATATTAGAATATAAATTAGCTATAGTATCCATGTAATGTGTATACAAGAACAAATTATTTACATGAATGGATTTCAAGTTACAATGTAAGAATAAGTCATTTACAAGAATGGATTTTAATTTACAAGCAAGAACAAGTAATTTACATGAATGAAATTTTTACTTCCATAATGGCGGATATCCCCTTCCATAGTTTTTTTTTCGTTTTGTCCGTCAATTAGATACATTTTACTAATTTGTTTGTATATATGTTTTTTTTCTAATTTCACATACATAGCACCGCTAAAGTGTGACGATTGTATTGTTGGATTCAATGTAAATCGTTGTGACACTCAAACAACTTGTAACGACGATGAGGTAAGTGACAGTCTGGACCTGGCTGTTCCGAACATTGTTTTAATTAACCAGTTAGAAACTTAGTCACTGGATAAATCATATACCAGTGGCCAAAAATCCGTTAGACTCGATATTTGGATAGAGCCTCCGGCTACCAATCGAATAGCGTATCAATTGCCAAACTACAAGAGGCCTAGTTAGTTTGTCTTAAAATAAAATGGCTGATTGATTTGCGAAGAAAATAGAAAGATCCCACATTATTTCATGCTTTCAAGTGTTTTACTGTAATATATATGATTTTAGCCTGATAAACCACTAGTAAAATTTAAAATATAATCTTCACTGTAGCCGGACTATATCTGAATGCGGATGAAAACAATATCATAACTAAATGGAATAACAAGGAAAAATAAATGCCGTCATACGTAAATTTTGTTGTTGTTGTTTTTTCTAAAGAAATTTAAGAAAAGAAAGTCGACGTCATCATACATCATATAAAACATGTAACAAAAAAAGACACATTTAACAGAACTGTATTTCAACATTGGCGATGTTACGTCATGATAATATGATGACGTCATAAAGGAGAATGCGTGACGTTACGAACAAATACTTAAAATCACTTAAACAGCATGAAATAAAAGGAAATTTTATTTGTTTTACATACGAGATTGAAAAATATTTCATTCCTGAACACCAGCTATTCTATTTTCACTCTTGGCTACGCCACTCGTAATAATATTGCATCTGGTGTTCACTCAGTGAAATATATTTCAATCATACATGCAAACAAACAAATATCCTCTATGTTATGCGGAAAATAGCGATTAACGTGAAATAATTTGATATAAAAGTAGCAAAATAACAACAAAGTACTATTCTGACTTCCATATGAACTAACTGTATTACCAATTGTAAAGAGGCAAGAGATAAAAAAAGATGGTTCAGGTAATTGCCTAACGAATAACTTTTTGGAAACTATCAAAGTACACCAAAAAGTAAATGCTTTTTTTAAAAGCCCTTAATATTTTCAATTAAGTCATTTGTATTACAAAGGAAATTTACTTCTTAAGAAAAGAAAAAAACCAATATGTGAAGTTTATTTCATTATCAAACATAATGTCAAACTCCTCACAGTGATTACCTCCCTTGGCAGAATTGTAAGCACTGCCTTCACAGACGTCACATGATGATGAAAGTCACATGATGTAACGCCGAAATTCAAATGTAAATATCCAGCGTTACATAAAAAAAAACGTCATTTTTCTATCTCTGCTTTATTTTTAACTTTGGGTACCTACGCTCGTTATAGTTTATCAAACGATTATCAAAAGTATACAAAATAATGGAAAATAAATTCAAAAGCTAAAAAATATAAAATATGAAAATATTGATAAACATGATTGTGGTGGCAGAGATCACTGTACTGATAAGGGGAGATTACTTTGTAGGAGATTGACATAATGTATGCCTGTAGTCCAAGCTTAACCCATTACCGCATGAGCATTTTTTGAAAAATGGCTGTTTTCATTGAAACGTCTCCCGTTACAAGTTCAAGTTGCTAGACAACTATTAAAACTGCTTCAATACTAATGAAACTGGGCACAAATGTTGGCTGGACCATTGTCTTTGTTACAACATGCTTAGTCTTAAATTTCCTGTTACCATGGCAACAAAGGGACATCTCAAAATTGCCCTAAATCACTACATGTATTTTGCGTTGATTTTTTCCATCAAAATTGATTTCAAATGGATTAAGATAGAGTCAAAAGCTTTTCAGCGTTGGTAATACGTTATCTTATGAACGATCTGGGGTCATTTTGAACCTCTCACAAGTCCTAATTTTCTTGGCGATGAGGGGGACTGCCGCCCCCTTCAAACCCCCCAAACAGAAGGTGCCACATCCCCCTTTTTTAAACAACATTTCTCAAACAAAAATAAGTGTTAAATAAGGCATTTTTTCGCCATTTGAGACAACAAAAACGGGGAGGTGAAAAAGGCGTAGAAGGCTTATATACTAAGTATTTGGTAATGGGTTAATAAAGGTCCATTCATCTGTAAAAGCACAAAATTCTGCTTTCGCTGTCGTGTACGGATCCACGTCGGACATGTCACCAGTCATGCTTTTAAAGAGTTCATTTTGAAGTGGTGATAATTTAACTCCGTGTAATTTCCTCAAAGTGTTATATATGAATTTTGAGCAGAAAGTCACTATATAGCGGTCAATGAGCACCAATAATTATACAGTGTCCACAGTGACAATTTTAATGAACAAGGGTTGTTGCTGACAGCAAAGGGCGCCGCCGTTCAAGCCATCTCATCGTACTAGGGGCTCACGCACCCATGGCTCCCTTCATTGTCCCCACTACCTATTCTATAGGGTCATTCTCCTGGGCTTTAGTCAGAACATAGGCAGTCGAGTCGTAGAATGCGATAGAAGCTTAATCCCGCTATATTCAGGACCTGCCCTGTATGTACAGAAACAGCTCTTGGATCTTCACCAGTCAAGGCGTCCTTGGTGAAAGATTAAGCCAAGCTCCAAATATTCTTCCGATGCGCTGTGCCTTTTCTGCGACGTGCACGTACAGGGATAGAGAAGTTATTATCAAATATATTTTACTGTTTATGCTGACGGCTAAACATTTTGCACGAGTAAAGCTATTCAATTTTGCAAAGAAAAGCAAATAGCGATAAGATCTTGTACAACATCTTAAATGATTTGGTGTTCTCAACACCGACTGAGAGTCAGTGTCATTACTTATTGATATCAAATCCTTTATCTTCATCTTATTAAGAATGGTATGATAAATTAATTAATTTTATTTTCACAAGTTATATCTTTTAACAATATACATGTATTTTAATTAGGTTTGTTTCGTTGACTATAAAAGCGATGGAATGGGAAGTACGTACACTTTAGGCTGTACATTGGAAAAGGTACACGTTCTTTTATTCATACATGTAGTTCATTTCGTAAATATGTTATTAATTTATTGGACTCCAATGATTCTCCTTTTTAAACATTTAATTGCAAGTAACTATTGTTTATTCTATTTATATGTATTTACAATTGTAGTCATTTGCATTCTTCGCAGCTTATTCAGAAAAATATATTTCTACTCATCATTTATTTAGCTTTGTACATTAAAGTAGAATATCACAATTTTCATAATGATATTAAAATGTTCAATTTCTTTTATCTTTTTTAAGTACTGTATACAAGGAGGGTAACTTCCCGCAAGTAACAGGATTAGGTAGATATCATAGATGGTCTTGCTGTTCTTCGTACGACGGATGCAATCATCATAACTTATACGAATGATTCACAACTGCAGTTCACATGTATATCAAAAATACATGTACCTATTAAATTTACATGCAAAGTTACTGTACTTGTTGCTGTTTTTTTTTGTTGTTGTTGTTGTTATTAATGTTATCATATGCACTTTGAATGTTACCAACACAACACATACATAAAGTTCTCAAAAAGTCAACATTAATTAGTGAATTAGTCAATATTACGACCATTCACGAACCTATAAAAATACGGCATATCGTGGAAATTGTGCTCTTTGGTCACGTGACTGATAATTTGTCCCTTTAGTAATGTCTGTCCATATAAAACCGCATCTTGTCTGTATTTACACAAACCCGCCTCTAACAGCCAATCACAAAATGATCTTCCAGTGAAAACTTGTTCGTACTTCTTCAGTCGATGCCTGACAAAAACAAATGCATGAAATTTCACACAAACTCTTATTTACAATTCTTTAAATCTGCTGTTGAATGGCATGATGTAATAAGAATGTTATAAGAATCAAATTTTCTTCAAAGTTGAGATGTTCAAGAGAAGAAATGATCAAGCTAGCGAATTACTCTTTTTGCCAAGAACAAAATATGGTTGTCGCCTCTTTTAAACATATACATGTATAATATTATGTAGAGAAGTTTATACACCTATTTTGTTTTATTCATTTTACTGACCGTTCAAGATTGTTTATATCAGACACGCTTGAAGAAGTTGTGCCAGTTTTGAGCTTATGCAATTCAAATTGTTGTTAGAATATTTGATCTTACATGAACTCAAAATATATATGTATATGACACTTAATATTATACATTAAGAAAATCAGTATTTTATAGGTATAAGGGACAACCAGCTGGTGTTCAAGATGTTGTTTAAAACGCATATATATTCTATTTCGCTTCTGAGTATACGAGGGGAAGTCAGAAAATATCCTGACTTTTGACTCGTTCTCGAAAACCATTCAACATTTAAAAAAAAAAATTCTACTCTTTTTCAAAATATTCTCCAACCTACGTCTACGCACTTTTGCCATCTTCGTGGGAGCTTTTGTATTCCCGCTGTGAACCATCACGTAGTCCTATGTTTTAGGTAATGTGTAACAGCAGATATCAAAGCCGCCCTGGTCTTATATTTCTTTCAAGCCAGCAATTTTTTTCAGTTCTGGAAACAAATAAAAGCCACAGGGGGCGAGGTTGGGGCCAGAAGGAGGGTGAGACAACAATTGCCATTTGTAAGAGTTGGTCACTTCCACTGTAGCTGCGGCGGTATGGGAGGGGGCGTTATCGTGAAGACGGAGGACATTTTTCTGTGCTAACCTTGGACGCATTTGCTTCAGCTTTTCTCTGAGATTTTTCAGAATTACTTCAGAACAGTATTTGGCGGTGACAGTTTGACCTTTTGGCATGAAATGAGGAAGTATCATTCCTCGTGAATCCCAAAAGGCAACAAGCATGACTTTGCCAGCCGAAGGAGACAGCTTAAACTTTTTAGGAGGTGGGGAACCAGCCCGATTCCACTGCTTTGACTGAGCTTTTGTCTCAGGTTCGGAATAATGAACCCACATCTCATCTCCAGTGATAATGCGGTTCAAAAACTTATCTCCTTCACGATTAAAACGACTTAAATGTTCTTTTGCATTGGTTACTCTGGTTGCCATTTGATCGGCGGACAGCTGTCTAGGCACCCACCTGGCACTTACCTTGCTCATGCCTAGGTGTTCGTGTAAAATCTTGTGTGCCGATGCCTTACCGATGCTAAACTTGTTGGCTACCTCCTTCAAAGTTACTCGACGATTTTTGTTGACAAAAGCTTTAACATTTGCTACCATTGTTGGGGTCACCGCCTCAGCTGGCCGCCCAGTCCTAGGCCTGTCACAAACACTTGTTCTGCCTTCACGAAACTGAGAATCCCAGTTGTAGAAGGTTGAACGTGATACACATTTATCAAAAAATCTTTTTTAAGCCTCTGAAAGAGGTGGCAGGGCTTTTCACCTTCTGCAACCAGAAACTGTATTACACAGCGTTGTTCCTCTAACAAAGAGTCCATGATAGACGAAACACTTATCATTTATCAGAGGGCAAAATACTGTGTATACACAACTATCATCAAAAATAAACTGACCACGTTATTGGTGAATGAATGTAGTTTTCACCAATATATAATGTGTGTATATAGCTGCGCGTGGAAAGAGAGGAGCATATTTTCTGACCGTCCCTCGTATTTGTTTGTTGTTGTTTTCTGACAAGTCAAATACTTGAACTACATTGGTTAACCCTTTGCCAGCTAGCAGCAACAAATTATACCCACGTGACCAGTGCAGACCAAGATCAACATATGTACTTTACCTGTTAAGTTACTACATAATTTGAAATTTTCCACAAAACTATTGAATGGTTTTCTCAATATCTACAGATAGGCAAGTCAATCTGAGCCGCGTCACGACAAAACAAACATAGTGCGTTTGCGACCAGCATCCGCGCAGTCTGGTCAAGATCCATGCTGTTCGCTATCAGTTTATCTAGTTGTTATAGGGTTTGTAAGCGAACAGCATGGATCCTGATCTGGATCTTGTTTGGATCCATGCTGGTCGCAAACGCATAACGTTGGTTTTTCGTGACGCGGCTCATTTAATATCTTTATAATTACTATACTTATGACATTCTTACTTTCTGTTTGAAACAATATCTTTCGTACACCTGTCCAGATGATATTTGACAAACTGGTCACAAAGATGTTTTTCCTCCTCCGTTAAATCTGCTGGACCAATATGAACATTTTCTACATTGTATACCAGTTTACGCCATCTAAAATAAAGTTCAAGAGTACATTTTACTTAATTAGTTCAATAATTATCTAAGACAAAAGCATCATTACGCATACAAATGTAGTAGTATCAAGGGACCTAAAAAGTGTATATTATTTGCCAGTAGTTTTAGTGGAGCGCATGAACAAAGGCAGGTATCTCATACCAGATTACGGCATATCAAAATAGCAAAAAAAAAACTTATTTGTTATAAAACATACCATATATATATCAGTGCTTAAATTCATTTGTCAAAGTGCTTCATTGTGCACTACAAATTTGAACTTAAACTGAGAAGGACTTTACTCAAAGTGAAAAATATTCTTAAAAAAAAACATTAATCTTTTACCTTTGACATTGGCAACGTCTTTACGAACACCGCCAAAAGGATAATAGGTAAGGATAAGGTTTGAACACAATAACAAAGTCTAGGAAGACTCTACGCCTGTCTAATTTTAGGATGAGCTTCTCATGTAATAGTAATAGATGCAACAACCGGACTTTTAAACTGTATCGAAAACTTATATTTGAGCCGCGTCACGACAAAACCAACATAATGGGTTTGCGACCAGCATGGATCCAGACCGCGCAGTCTGATCAGGATTTCTGCTGTTCGCTGAAAAACCCTATAACAAGTAGAGAAAGTGATAGCGAACAGCATGGATCCTGATCAGACTGCGCGGATGGGCAGGCTGGTCTGGATCCATGCTGGTCGCAAACGCCCTATGTTGGTTTTGTCATGGCGCGGCTCATATTACGTATTATTTTCTTAATTAAGACATATACATATATCTTTAAAGTCATTACCTTTTTTATAAATCGTTGAATTATTACCTGGACGTCGAATCCGAAAAGTGCAAACAGAACAAAGTTCTGCAAAAAAAAATTGAATTATCAAACACATACCAAGGAAAAGTATATCTATTTCACAGTGTATTTTCAGTATATAAAATTTTAATAGGCAGAAAAAATATGTACAAATTATGAAAATTCTTATCCGGCTTTTCACATTACTTTTACACAACTATCTAATTACATTTACTTCTTTCATAAAAAGTGAAAAATATAAATATATCATTATTCATTATGAAATTTTCTTTGGAAATATTCCAGAAGCTAGCGTTAAAGTACTCTTAAGTAATACGCCTTGTTTCTTTTTTCTACTTTTTTAGCCTTGAGCCGTTTGTTATCATCTTGATTTCCGGTAAATAGAAAAGGCTTTTGTGTAAATACGTGATGGATTGAGTGAGATTTACGACAATGAAGTTTATTTAGTTTTAAAGCGTGGGGCTGGAGTGGGAGTCAGCGGTACGATTCACACATCAATTTTTTGTTGGAAGAAATATGTGCAAGTCCTCTTGTAATAAATTATACCTGTCCATAGTTAAGAAAGATGCCCAGGAACTCTGTCTCAATGTAAATCCCGGATTTTGAATCATTGAATAATCTCCATGTGCAGAGGAATAAACTCTGAAAAAGGATTATATGTAAATTGTTAATCTTTTAGAAGAAAAAAAAACATTATGATTAATTTACTACTGATTTTCGGTTATTTCTGCACCCTTATTGTCATATACTTTAGCATAAATACAATAAGTTATGTCTGTACGATATTTTTTGTAAATAAGTAAATTTTTTGAGATAAAACATGTGACAATAAGTACTTTAAGTTTGATATTTATCAAAAAGAGGAAAGAATAAAGAAGTCTACATACCACAAACATTGAAATTTGCGAAAATATCAGTAACACGAGAAATTTTCCATGTGGCGTCTGATTAACACGACCTTTCGTTTTGTCGTTTTTTGAAGAGCCTCCTTTACATATCTGTATTTAAAAATAGAGTAAAAACATTAAGAAAAATACAGAAAAATGGTACAACGGACTACAACTGATTTGAAAAATTGAATGTTTTTTTCCTGATGAAGTAAAATAAGATATATACTCAAACCATGATCATGTATATTATAGACAGAACACCAGTTAAAGGCCTCAAAAATGTTTTTACTTTTATTCCTTATAAGTTTTTTTTTTAATTTTGATATAGAGGATATTGAATGAGTGTAGGTTTAATACTTAATTTATTGAACGAGTTGAATAAAATCATATTATGCGAGCCTCTGGCGAGCATAATATTGTTTTATTCAACGAGTTCAATAAATTTAGTATTGAATCTAATGGTAATGGTGAATAAATATTTTGTATGGAAGTCAGGATACTACTTTGTTTACATTTTGCCACTTTCATGGCAGATTATTTTACATTTGTCGCTCCTTTTTTCATGTATCAAGTATATAACTTTCTCTAAAAATTCATGTTTGCCCTTTCTTAAGAGTTAAAAAAATCTTTTTTTTTCTGTGACATAATATCACAATTTGATAATCTTGTGGTAGAAAAGCTTTAAATAACAGACAGTCAGTATGACAATAAAATCTAACTCAATTATTGCTCAATGAGTTCCTGAATACATGTATATCATAATAATTATACAATCAAATAGGATAAAAATGAAAACGAGAACTATTTAAGAAAACAAACAGCAATTTGTATGTATACAAAGAATTACAATACATGACCTCTGAAACGTTTTGAATATCACCCCCAGCACTTTGTATGTTTTTCACGCCCCGACAAGCCGGAGACATGTTCCTCCTTGAACTTTGCAAGGTGCTCTTATCATACTCTGATTTATCAGCTAATACATCATCGGCATCAGCTTTGTCATCAGCGTCCCAGTAAACTGCAATATAACACCTTCTATTATAACACCTTCTTATATACACATGTATAAACAATTAATCTGGTCTTACACATCAAAATGTTTTCTTTTCTTCTGGAATTATATTCACAATTATCTCCGCTACACAGTTATGTCAAAGCAGTAAATGTCAGATCAACGCGGTAAATGTCAGATCAACACGGTAAATGTTAGGTAGACACGGTAAATGTTAGGTCAATATAGTACATGTCAAGTCAATGCAGTAAATTCAGTGTCAGGTCAGTGCAGTAAATAATAGGTAAGTGCGGGTCACGTAATGTCCAAGCAGTCAATATAGAGTCAATAGGTAAATGTCGGTCGGCATCAGGCCGATGCAGAATATGTTTATGTCAGGCCAATGCTATTCGTCGTAAAATCAATATAAGGTCAATGCGAGCAAGGACATGTAAATGTGGTTGACGTGCAGTCAAAACATTCAACGTCAGGTCAATATGGTTGACATCGTGTCAGTGTGGTCAACGTCCACTTGTCTACGGAAGAGTAACATAAATCATGCAGCTTTTTTCATTTCACTACGTACGTTCTGATTCGTGCATATAAAACAATGTAGATTAAACTCTTGCTATAAAATGCTGCAATCAATTAACTGATTAAGCATGTATTTAATTTCCGAGAATATACTTTACCTGTATAATCATCGTTGTTGCTTCCATAATTTATTGAATTATTTGTATTAGAATATGTCCTAGAATCGTGGTTCCTGAGAGAGTCGGTTAATATCAAATTTGTTCTACTTCCGCTATGTGCCATTGTTTTAAATTTTACATCTTCATTCGCAGTGGTGAAGGAAATCGCATCTAACACATCATTGGCTTCTTTCACATGACTTGAACGACGAAGTATTCGTTGATGTAACACCAAAAATGTTATATTTAGAATAGAACAGAATGCCAGGACCACCACTGATAATGCATCCGCCTTGTTGTTATAAAAAGAAACAAAGAATAAAGCTCCGAATCCAAATTTGAAAAAATGGTGTATTTTAAGATAAGAGGATGTACATAAGAATTTGTATGCTTAAAAAATCAAAGAGTGATTTTGATTAGTTCTAAACTGCTTTCTGACTGTAGCTACTCTTTAAGGTCTATTTATAAAAAAATATTTACGAACACAGAAACGGTACAACCGTTAAAAATAAATATAAAACTAAATAATTCTCTTAAACTAAAAATCGACTTCATTAGCTGAGTATTGAATCAGAACAAACTGTCATAAAATGAATTTCTGCCATGTTGAATTGTCGCTCCGCTGAGCGTCGGACGAAAACACCAAAATACGACAAATTCAACATTTTGTCGTATTTTTGCTCTGCAGGGTGTAAAGTGGTGACTTTGTCGTAATATAGAGTATCATCGTTAGTCACTTTGTCGCATATTCGTGTTTTCGCCTGGCGCCTCGCAAAGAGAAAATACGACATGGCACTAATCAGCCACCATAATGAGGTATTGTTGGGAAGATGCCATATGAACTTAACAATGTCGATATGACTTAAAACAAAAAACATAAATGGAAAATATTATAAAGACAAGCCATACCTTAGTTGCGCCATAATGGAACGCATTCTCGTGCTTGTAGTCTATACAGTCCCAATTTAACGCCATCAGAAAACCTATACATATAACAGGAAATCTGAAATAATTAAAATACTTATGTCAATATTTCAATTCATATAAAATATATTCTTCAAGTTTTTATATTCCACATTTTATCAACTTGTTTGATGATTTGTACTGTTCAGTTTGAAAAAAAAAACTATGCCATTATTACTCTTAACGCAAGATATGGTATACACAAAAACAAATTTACTTACTATAAGATTACGAATGAAAAATGTTAGCTAATGTTTCATAGCAACTCCTTTTTAGGTTTGTCCAGGTCAGGCAGTAAAAAATAATGAAACAATCTTATGTTGGGATTAACTTGAGCACCGTTAAGACAGGGCAATATTCGTAAAATCAAATTACTCTGTCAATTCGGGTAATTACTCAATCAAGAAACTTGTCTGAAAATTCTTTAATCTTCATTATCCTTATGATACAATATGATCTCCCCCGTGAAGGCATTTTTAACGTAAGTGCATGATTCATAAAACTTTTATAGCGGTCTACTAGTCAATGCTATGTTAGGGTCATAATTAATATAACTTTTGTAGACACAAAGACTTAAATGTGTATTTCCTACATAAGTTTATAAATTAAGTGGCCCCACAGGTGGGGCCAATATTGATCTTAAAACATGAGTCAGTTTGGTTAAGGTCAATAGGACAATGTTATATGCTAAATAGCTAAGCTGTTGATATTGTAGTTTCAAAAAGTGAAACTTAAATGTGTTACCCTATATAAGTCTATTTAAATTACGTTATCTCTGGGACGGTGTAAAAGCCCAAACCAATGTTCTGCACATCGTCTCATTATATGTAATATTTATTTCTATCTGTTCAAAAGATACAGAACGGACACGAAATTTTGAACTCGTTGCAAAATGACAAAGAGTGACCTTGACCTAGACCAGAGGAAGGTCAAAGCTACGCTATGCACATTTTTCATAAAATGTTTAACAGTTCTGCCAAGTGGTTACTAGTTTAAAAACGGACGGACGACCTGGTGCATAACAATATCGTCGAAATGTTTTAGAGCATATAAAAATACCATGCTTATTTACAGGTAGATACCAAAATTCAAAAGATTACACACCCAACAGCCGATATGATCAACCATTTTCTGACTCGAACAACAAAGTCTAGTGACTTTCTATGAAGTAAGTATATCACGCATGATAGTACCACCGTGAAACATCTGCTTGTAAAGTCTCCGAATATTGACACCACGAACTGTGCATACTGCATCCACGTGACTTCCGTGCTGTATTTGAACATAATCATGCCAATGCAAACAAGAACCTACAAAGTATGTTAAAATAAATACCCCAGAGACCTTTTGCTCAAACGGAAGTGACATAAATTGATCTCATCTAAAGCAACCCTTAACCTGCTATATATAAATAAAGGATTTTCCTGTACCCTATCCTCTAAAATATAATCAATTGAAAATAAGTGAAGAAAACAGTGATTGTTCAGAAAATTCATGCAAAAAAGATCGAGAGACATTTTGGCTGGACTATTTCCTTAAGACGAGTATGGAACCTTAACTTGAAAATTAAAACTGGTTGAAAAAATGGCTGCCACACATGTACCAATCAACTTGAAAATTTTGAAATATTTTATAGTATATAACATACCAATTAGATCATTTAATAGGCGTTTGTACTTGAAAAAAGGAACAAAATATCCGCCTTGTTCTTTGTTTTATGAAGCATCATATGTTACATGTCAAGAAACATATAAATAATTTATACATACTTGTGATGGAACAAGACACAGTAGAAACTGGTGAGGCATCTTTTGATGTTTCTTATCAAGTAACAGCAGAATGAATACCCAAATCTAAAACATACAAATATATAACTAGCATCTTTAAGGAAAAATAAGTAGTTTAGTTTATTCAAATGATAGTGCTGTTAAAGAATCCAGAACCGATTACAATTTAAATAGGATTGGACTAAGCCGTTCCTTTTAAACCCTGAGATTCCGGCACCTGACTCTATACATGAGCGATGAAGGCATTTCATGATGAGATCAAGAATTTACTATACCAACATAAATGTTACTGGTTTACCAGAATTATCAATGATTGTTATTATTTGTTTATTTGTCATTTTAGAAGAAATTCTTTATCATCGTTCACCGGAGAAACACTGTCTGTGCACGACATATAATGCTCAGGTGAGCATTGAGTGAAGATGTTGGTCATCTGATTTCAAAGTTGAAATCTGAATCTGGAACAGTACATACAGTCTACATTTCATAGCTGCAGCTATAGATACAAACATACAGGTCACTGGGTCAAAATCTAGGTCAAATGATATAGTTTAAGTCTGCATCCATGATTGTTCTTTAAATTTCAATGCTGTAATTCTAAGTACAAAATATAGGTCACTGGGTCAAAATCTAGGTCAACTAATGTCAAAGTTCAATTGTACATCTGAAATTTTCCATATACATGTAGTCAAAATTTCATAGTTCATCCTCGAAATAAAAGAAGTAGGTAACTTGATCCAAATCTAGTTTAACTGATATCAAAGTTCAACTTTGCATCTGAAAATGTGCATCGTGTCCAAATTTCATAGCTAAAGTGGGTCCTGAGCCTAAGTCTTGTGGGGTGTTTATTTTGAATCCAGAACTTTAATTTGAACAAACATGGAAATGGTTAACAAGAATGTTTCATGCCAAATATCTAAGTTCCAGCGTTTGCGGTTTCAGAGAAGACACTTTTAAAGATTTTTCTTTCTTTTGCCATGGCAACCAGATTTCTATATAAAATGGAATTCTTTGAACAATTTTTAAAAAGAAAATGTCATGCCATGAACAATTATGTTTAGTTTTAACAACATTGGCCAATCGATTTAAGAGGAGTTTGTTTGTATTGAAACAAAGTTAACAATGGACGACGGACACAGACCGGTCACAATAGATCACTTTGAGCACGTTGTTCTCAGGTAAGCTTAAAAAATCAACGCATTTTTATTGTAACTGTTATCATTCGATCTATAGATTATTGCATAGATAGTAAAGGTGAAAGCTGACTGATGGTACAGATACAAGCTGTAGTAGGATAAACTCCTCTTTATAAATGTTTCGAGCGAGTATTAAAAAGATAAAAAGTCATTGGTCAATATTACTGATACTGATCATTTCTTACATTCGTTACTAATGATATCGTGCTGAGGTCAAAAGATGTGCCAGTCAATAAACTGTTGTAGTCCATCCGACTGTTGACCACTTCTGTAAGCATCTTAGCTGACGCAAACATAAGCGAAAGGAACGTACACGCCACCATACCTGTCGCACTCTTAAAAGAAATAATAATAATAATAGAATCTAATACAAGAATGTATCATTTGTTCTATCATGATGATAAGATGTAATTACTCAGCCATTGATAATATTTTCTGTTTACAAGCCATGATACAAAAGTATTTATCTAAAAAGGGCGGTCGTTTTTATTGTTTATATATTGATTACCGTAAAGCTTTTGATAAAATTGATCATTCAATATTATTTCATTCACCCCAGAAGATAGGCATCATGGAACCTTTTACGGGTTTTAATATGTAAACTATGCATTCTGACTTAAAGTCTTGTGTGAAAACACAAAGTGGTTTAACTGTTGTTTTTTTATGTTATATAGGAACAAGACAGGGCGATAGATGACCGCGTGATACGGTCTATCATTGTTAAGAATATTCAATTCAATTCAATATTTTATATTCCCCTAAACTACATATAGCATATAGCCATTATTACATAATATAGGTAAAGTGTAAGACATTTTTACAACAAATTGTTCATAATACAGTACAAAATGTTTTCAGAGAAGTTTATAACAATAAACCTTCATGGGATTCAGCAATTAACAATAAGAGATATATACTTAATGCTGAAATAAATTGTTGTCTATACATATGTATACAAATAAAATAATAATGCAATATTATTTGATGCAATGCATTTTCCTAATGTATTCAATCTCTATTGCTTTTATTAGTGTAACAACAATATTAATGTATTTTCGCATCCATAATTTCATGTACAGTGTTTATAAATATATATATACTGTAGTTATACTTTGTAAATATATTATGTTTGTTGTTGGGCCACTCTACTGGTCAGGTGTATGGAACGTGATTTGAGAACATTACCAGTCCTCATGAAATTAACATTGACCACTCGTTTGAGCTCACAGGAGTGACTTTGACCAAACTGTCGAGAGTGTTGTCTCCCGTCAGTTGCACTCTGGAAGTTTCTACGACAGCTCATACACCGAGCGGTTACAATTGAATAATGAAACCATTGGTCACAATGGTCTATTTGAAGCATTTTCATGTTGCATTGTTTGAGCCATAATACTGAACTGAAATGTATGTAGAATTAATTGTAACAAAGATATCTAATTTACATATACATCATAAACTATTATTTGAATTAATTGAACTTTAATTGTTACTATAGATCAACAGACATAGTGTCGAATCTAAGGGAGGCAATTCTTTCATTCATCCACATCGACCAATTACAGTTCTTTTTAAAAATAAACTACTTCAAGATATTACCGCGATATCAAGGAAATGAGATTCTAAAATATAGGACATCAAACCATACATTACCAGTTATAACCGTGCGATAGAAAACAAGACGCATTAAATACTGTGAAAGAACATGCTTAAAATACCTCTTCGATAAAGGAGATGAGTTTCATAACCTTCTTCAATGAAAATATTATAAGCACCACAGAAGAAATATATGAAAATATTTCATTATGCAAAACCGACTTTAATCTAATGAACACCGTCGATGTTATCTTTAAATCAACATTAGATTAAGATTAATTATAACAACCATGACAAATATTGTTTAGCAATCCTCTTCAAAATCACTGACCTTATGACCTTACTTTCAATAAGTAAAAGAAACTATAATCAAAGAAGCTCTATTTTGTTACCTAGCAACCATGGAATATTCTAAATTTTTGTACTTTATTTTGTAGTCATACAAAAATTATAGGTAAAACACAGCTTACACTGCAGCAGAAATAAATAAAATTTCAACAAAATTACTAACATTGTCTTTTTATCACTTTACAATAACTTTCCATTCAAGATCTTACATATACTCCATGTTCTGTACACTTAACGTGTGATAGTAAGCTGTGTAGATTTTAACAGAAAGTCAGTGCTTTGCCAACCATATATTGCTCTGTATATGTAAATTTTTACAATAACCAATTAATATTTCATCCAATGCTAATTTCCATATAACATAAATAAGTTATTTTCTGTATAACTAACTGTTTGATTGAATATCCAAACAATTAGTCAAAATTAAAAAAGTGTTGCACAGCAACCACAAAATATTCCATAATTTTCTTAATTTTTACTGCACAATTGGCTTTTTGTTTAAAAAACATCTCAACATACCATGAACGAAGCAGCATAACTACAAAAAGCAATATCATTGTTATGGATAAAGTATTTTTCATATTCTACAACTATAAAATGTTTAAAATATGACAGCAAGTACTGAAGCTTGTTACTTTACTTTTTCAAATACAATATAATTGTTTATACAGAAGTTTTCAATCTAGGTCACAGCTTAAGATTTAGCCACACAAGGAACAAAAATTGTGTATATATATTGAAATCAACACCTGTAAAGACAGGGTTACTGCTAATCAACCCATAAAAAACATAGCCTTAATACAATTTTATAACTTTAAGTAACTGGTTATCTTGTATCCAAACAGAATAAAGGCAACCATTTATGAACTGAGCAAATTGGGCAGTTCTTCAAAACTTGCAGTGTTATACAAACCATAATCCATACACCTGTTAATATAGCATATAATCCTTAAATTGAGGCATTGGAGCAGCAGTTATGCAACAAACACTTGCAGTTTTATTTTATGAAGCATTAAGATAATCATCTCACATCTACTTGTATCATATTTTAAGCTATATTTGAAATATAAAGAGTCCATGGCATGATGTGTTATAAGACCTCCAATTATATTTAGAGTAATAGACTGCTCTTTCTCTTTCCACCTTTTTTCACATTATTGTCAATATCCAACTTTATTTCTGTTTTTGGGATAACTGGTTGTAGACACGCAATATCTTTAGCTATTTCAGATTTAAAAAACTGTCCAATTTGCTCAAATAAATACCATTGTCTTGCAGCATGAAGACCTTCACATTTTTTTTTCATCCGGTAAAAGATCTCTGTGAGGCATTTGTTTCAGTAAATTTATTTTAACCTCCTCAGAGTTAAAATATTCTTTACATGTTATAACACCGGACTCAATTGCACTAGAAAAAAGTGGTGGCACTTTGATAATTGTTTGAGAGGTTTAAAATACCTCTCAAGAAATGACTTCCACTTGAAGTAAGCAACAGGTTTTTCCAGATCATCAATAAGTTGTGGAATATTGTGTCCATGTCTTGATGAGTTCAGGACAGTACTGGCAACCTGTTGCATTGTTTCAGTGTCTGAGTCACGCCATTTCACTTTCCAGATACCAAAGTGCCATGCCCCGCGACAAGCATGCTGAGTTGGACACTTTCATGAAGTCCTAAAATACATACACAATAGAATTTAAAAAAATGTAAACATTACAAATAGGATTAAATCCAAATCATTTTATTTCTTTTTTCTTGTTTTTTTTTATTGATTTCTAAGCTTCAATTATTACTTTTTTTCTTGTTTTTTTTAATTGATTTCTAAGCTTCAATTGATAACAATAAGGATGGTGTTTCTGTCAACAAGATTGCATGAAGCTATGATAATGTGTCAGGCAACAAATTATAAATATTCAAAACTTTTACTAACCTGTCAAAGTTCTCCATATTGCATAACAAACCACCACATTATATTAATTTTGTCCTGTTGCATTATCAAAATGTATCTGAAGTAAAATTAAGAAAAAACTCTTTAAGTTTCAGTAAATATACTTTTTCTAAACTGACTTAAAAACATACTTGCATTAAGTGTTTTTTTTTTTTAACACAACCATTTGGCACAGAGTAGTTCTAGATGTGACTAAAGAATATAATAATTTTGGTCTACAGTCAAGCCAATTATATACTTTCATTTATGCAAAAAAGAAAAAATGATAGTGTTTGTTTATACCAGTCAGCAACAATCAACATCCAGTTTTCACAAGAAAATAATGATTAGTAAAATACTTATTATTGTTCAATTTATGTCATAAAATAGTTTTTTTTTCAGCTGTTTCATAAACTGCTAAAAGAGTAATATATACCTGAGCATGTTTTTCTCCTATGCCATAATATTTTAAGTAGTAGTGTGCCATTGACACAACACTCTCAGCTCCTTTCTCAGTACACTGACTTTCATCAATAAGGTAAAATCTCTGATTACCTGTAAAAATGTAACCATGTAAAATAAAATTAGAAATTATTTGCTTTCCAAAGTACTTATTTCATTATGAACAATGGATATGAAATCTTATTAGAATATTCTAAAAGTAATAATGCAATTTTCAGTCCAATTTTACACTCATATACACTTACATTTAACTGACAAGTATATTTATATCACATCAAAATTTTAATCCTAATAAAAATAGTAATAATAAAAATTATGATAATAATGAAATTTATTGTTAAGGAACATATCTGTAATTGTAAAATTACTTTAATGATATTAAAATAAAAAATATGCACATAAATAAGATGTGAAATTTTATTGTAAAAACTAACCAAACACCAAACACATGGCATTTTCTTGGTGTCCTAAAATATATTGGACCAACTTGTTGAGAGTGACGGGGGTAGTGCACTTGTTGGGCATAATCCCAAGAGTAGTAGTACTCTACATCAAGAGTGCAGGGTGGATTACCTGAAATGTAAAGTAATTAAATATAAATTATGTATCTTTGATAGTTTTGACAATTTATATAACGTTTTCATGAAGTTCTCAAATTTTGCTAAAAAGGCATCTGTCACTATGATTCATTTATTTAAATATATATTTATTGTAGAAAGCTGTCATAAGGCATTGACTTTTTTATCAAAATATCAATAAAAAGAGGTTCACACATGTGCAAGCTTACAAACATATTGGTACACGCGTATTTCAAAACTTCTTCTGTACTGTTTATTATTATGTTCGACATTTTTTTATTAAAAGATATATATGAAGAAATTAAAAATCTTGAACTAACGAGTTCCCTTAGGGGCAATGAATGAAATTTTGAAAGTGGTAATTTGCAGACTTAGTTTTATTGAGCATTGTTTTGAGAATTTATCGAAATAGCAACATAATAATGAAATCATAACCTCAGATCCCCTTTCAAAATTCCATTTTATTTAGTTCCGCCCATTGTTTTCTCGTTTAGGGCACACGCTTTTTATTACTTGGGGACCATACGCCGCTTTTCATGGAATGGCACGGAAGTGTCACATTGAAGGTTCCATGATAACTGCCGTATGAACACATCTGCGGATGTTTCTAAATTCAAAATTTTACTATGCCATGTTTAAATGTTGAATTCTGCTTAAGCCGGTGCTATGGGGCGTGGACGGTAACTTGCACTTTCCAGTACCGTCCATGAACAGGCTCAATCAAACCGAGCCTGCAACATTTTTAATTTTGCCGTGTTGGGCTTTCTTAAGGGATTCTGTATTATCTATCTCTATATATTCTTGATTTTAAACATCTGAAAAATACAACCAGCTAAAACATTTTCCTTTGCATATTCTGTTATAAACACGGGGAACAATTCCCTCTTCGTCAAGTGACTTAACAATTCGTCCCAAAGTATTTTTGACACATTATGGGTAAAGCAAAATAACGCTCTGCAAACCTTTTCACCCATGAAGTAATATTCTTGATATGCCTTTTCTCGACATTTTGCTTTTTTACCACTAGCCCGTGTAAGCTCACTTTTACATCAGCGACTTTATTACAATATATCTCTTTCATCACTAGTCATTTCACAGCATCTCTGACGATATTGAATGACCTCATTAAAGTCTACTTTTTGGGAGCATGGAGTACCATTATAGATTTCATTACAGGCACAGGATTCAGTCTGAAATTTAGCAACTTTTTCCTCCTTAACACTATCTATGCAACGTTTTTCTAAAAATACAATCTCTTCTATGTCATTGCTTTTTTCCATACAATCATCATTTCGTTTATCATCATCATCATTATCATCATCAAAATCATTACACTAACATAATGTTCGATAACTTCATCATCAAAATTTCACTACACATATGATGTCTGACAACTTCTAATTATATATTTCCTTCAATGCAAAAAATAACCGAAACTCAATATTAAACAAAAGATAAGAAATGTAAGAAGAGGACCATGATGGTTATGAATCGCTCACCAGAAACAATTGTTTATAAATGTAAGATATAATATTTCAAATGAACTTCCCGAAAATCAAGTTCTGCTCAACTTCAACTTGCCCCTCTAGTTATATAGTATCACAACACTAAAAAGGGAACCTTTCACAAATGGCCCAAGTTCATTGTTACTGCATATGCAAGTTAAGCATGTCAATTCTCTCTTTCTAGTTCCCTTTTTCATACTGGAGCCTTTTTATAGAAGACTACCTAAGAATGCTGCAGACAAAGTTTTGTAATCATCCATCAAATAGTTCAGTATAATTTGATTTTATCTTAATCATGAATCAGTAAATCACTGCAAATTCTGGTTTCTTTAATACAAAATTTTGTCAAATGTTAAAATACTTAACATGACAGTAGCACGCTTGGACGACTAAAACGTTCTGTTATCAAAAGTGGCCTAGTGGATTCTGATGTATTGTTTTGAAAGTAAGGCTGTAAGTATATAGCCGCCTCCGTGGTTGAGGGGTTAGAGTCGATGACTTCTAATCCAGTTACCTCTCTGGCGTGGGTTCGATCCCCGGGAGATGCTTTGGTAGTTTAGCGCGGAGGAAGGTAGTCTAGTACAAGTGTAACTCTCCAGGGACGATGGTTAGGAAACTACCCGCCTATATGACTGAAATACTGTTGGAAAAAGGCGTAAAATGAAACAAACAAACAAACAAGTAAGTTAAGAATACTTGTTTTATTTACAAACTGGACAACCCACAATTCAAAAAGTATAGTTTATGCTTTATAAGTCGCCATACTTTGAAATACTAATTTTAAGAGTGACGCCCTCGGTCACCTAAATTCTGTGTGTCATTTACATCTGGCCTTTAAAATTTCATTTTTACATTTATTCCGCCCATTGTTTTCTCTTTTAGGGCACAAACTTACTTTTACATGGGGATCATACGCCGCTTTTCATGGAATGGCACGAAAGTGTAGCATATGAAAGCTATTTATAAAAAATATGCTTGAATTATTAGGCAATATGTTATAATTGCAGTAGCTTTACATTATTATTATTATAGTAATTATATATTCCGTTATGAACAGTTTAATATAAATAATATTCTTGAAGATTATTAAAGATGCAGGGGTTTGCCAAACACATTGCTATTGTCTTTTGGCTGTAAAGTTACGCTTTTGCGAATCTTTACAGTACTAAAAGATTTATGAATTGTGCTACAGGTAGAGTTCATCAGGTTGAGTTATGTCTTTAAACAAACACAGCTTTAAATATTTGTACAGTTTAATGATAAAAGAATTGGTGTTTCTCCTCAGCAATCTGAGTGTTATTATGTGAACCAAAAAATCAAGAGTTTTATTATAAATATATTGTATTAATTGCAGACGATATCATATTACTTTTGCCTGTGCTGTTACTATTTATAAATAAGAGCATTCAGTTTATTGCAATCCTGGGTCAGACATTTTTTAACCATGGTATGTCTTATGTAGCACTTAACCGTGTTCGAACACTGGAAGGTTTGCATTTATATGCATTGGCACCATCCAAAGTAATAGCCAATCAAAAAGTGATTGTTTTTCATCAGGAATTTCTTAACCGGCGTTAAAAAAAGAAACTTGCCTTAAATAAACATTCTCGAATATGATGAAGTTATTTATATTGCAGATTGATCAAAAAGTTCCCGGCCCGATGTACTTCCGGTAGTCAGAGAACCCAACTAATGGTCCTATTTTTCAATATAATCGCCCTCTACATCAGTGCCCCGTGCCCAGCTGCGCTGCAACTTGTTTAACCCTACAAAAAAGAAATCTCTTTTTTTGTCCTCAAAGATCTCATTGACCGCCTCCATGACACTTTCATTGCTTCTAAAACGTCTACCACGAAGCTTGGTTTTCAGGTGTTGGGTTGTTTTTACACTTTTAGCTTTGTCTGTGACATAACTCTGACACTGCAAGAGATATGCCTTCTGTGTCCAAAACCTATTCGGGGAGCATCACTCGGTTCAGCCGGCTCTTGTTTTACATTGCAAACAGTTTATATTCTACACCACCTAGCACCGGCTTCAGCTGAATTAACAGGATAAAACCAAAATATATCACTTTATAAAGACACCATATCTCATTACTACATCTGACAATTTACTTAATTTTATTTCTCTCACAGATCTGTCATTTACAAAATTGTTTCTATTATGGTGATATGTTTATGAAGGAAGCCATTCTCCTATATTTGAAGCACTTTTAAAAAATTCCCGTCTCTTCTATTACAAGCGTAATAAAAAGTACAGATGAGGTTCAACATATGTAATTAAACTTTTATGTATTTTTAGATGTTTTCAGCAGCTTAACATGGATATTGAAGTGTAGATTCTCCACAATTTTCATCTAAGTCAGTCTGTAAATTGATAGTAACCGCAAAAACCGCTGTCGCTTGTCCAATTAAAGTTTTATTTTGAATTCAGAAATAAACAATTTCAAAGTTTTCCAACAAGTAAATCAATTCAGTATTCATATAGGATAAAAAATTGCTTCGACGAATCTTTCATACAAACTTTCACTTACAATCATGTATGTTTATCAGGTTACCTTATTTCATTATTTCATGGTTTACTAATATCGTTGACAGAATCTTAATTTGTTTTGCGTCTAATGCACTCTTTAGTTAACGAATTTTTGTAAATCTTATTCAAAGGAAATTAAATCAAAGTTCATCTTGTTTGCCAAAGTTGACAAATTTAACTGATGTAAAACAAGATATACTTGTGGATCATTTATGTGCACGCTCTTAATATCTCAATGTCAGGAAATACAAACCTACACACTGTAGCATATTTTATTGCTAAAATAGCTAAATTACAGGTAGTTTGGTATTATAGAATTTGAATGTAGGACACCTACCTCCCTCCTCACGCATACTAAAACTAAGTCTGCAATCTATACATGTATCTGGAGAAAAAAAACCGAAATGTGTCTTTGTTATTTAACTCAAATGCAAAATCAACTAATACTTAATCAGCTGTATTTGAGAAATGGGCAAATTTTTTAGTCAAATTTGAGAAATGGGTAAACATTTTAATCAAGGCGTAACTTGTGAACATTTGTTAAAATCCTTGTTAACCGTTTTGACTTGTTTTAATTGAATTCAAGATTTCTAATTTCCTTTTTGTTATTAGAAGTCATCCTTCTCTAACTATGTAACATGTTACATGTAAACATTTACTGCATGATTTCACCTTATAATTGCAAAAAAAATGGCCGTTTTCATTTAAAAGCCTCCTGTAACAAGTTCAAACTGCTATGAAACTATGCAAAAAGCTTCAATACTGATGAAACTTAGCACAAATGTTGACTAGACCATAGCCTCCTCTGTAATAGCATGCTTAATTGTAAACTTCCTGTTACCATGGCAACGGGGGGACGTCTCAACATTGCCAAATATCACTATTTTGCATTGTTTTTTTTCCATCAAAACTGTTTTCAGAGTGCTGCATCTTCTTGGCGATGAGGGGAACAACCGCC